TTTGATACTCCATCAACTCATGGGTCCTTTGACATGTGCGTGGCTTGGCTAATATTAATTACACAAATGAACATGATCAGGCATACTGAAAATATATTTGCGCAATGCTTGATTCCATGTGATGCATGATTTCATGTAAAAGAAACAACAAACTACACTGGTAAAACACAGAAAACAGCGTCTTCACAATTTGGACATCGATGGCCCTTCATCGGCCCCGTGGAACCACAATGTCTTTATCCTGGAGGCATAAGACATCCTGGAAACGCAGTTTCGAACAGTGGCTGCTAAACCCCTGTTGCTTGATGATTCTATATATGTTATGATCATGGTCCCTTGGTAACTTATGGGAAATCCCCACCGGCCAGCATGGGACACAGCTACCTTTGAGCCGACCCTCAGTGCAGGACATGAATGACATCTCCCTACCGGATTTCCACCTTCGTTTCGTGGACAACTTAGAGACTGTGAGCCATTGTGAGCAGCGGCAGATGCTGGACCCAGGCACCTCTGGGGGCACCTTGCAGTGGGGAGGGGCCGTGGGCATTTTTGCTGATGGAAATCTCCATTTTACCCTCTTGTAAACGTTTATACATAACTATAGAAAATCACCATTTTAATGGGACAACTCACTATAAATGGCCATTTTCAATAGCTATGTTAGTTTACCAGAGGGTAATGGCACTGGAAAACCACACTCTGGTAGAGGATGACTAAAAATGAGGATGTTCCCAGATGTTCCTAGAATACATCCTTGTGTACATCAGTGAAGTAAAGTCTCAATCGTTGCTTTTGAGGAAGGCCTGTTGAATCCATAGCATCTCCATTGTGATCTATCTAATATGCTCATAGATGCTCCATCTTAAACGACGTTTGCCAACATCTACTCCAGAAACGACCCTTGAATTATCTTAAATTGGCAAGCAATGGCAAGCTCAATTCAAGACATCGTTTCGCCCAACATCAGTTTTAGGTTTTCATTCTCGGTTTCAGAATGTATTCAGAATTAGGGCTTTCGGGTTGAAGTGTTTTGGTTTTAGGGGTTTCCTCTAGAGTTTCACTGTTTTGACCGTTTAGGGCTTCGGAGTTCGAGTTTAATGTTCCAGGTTTTGGGGTGTTGGGGTTCAAGATGACTTTTGCAAGCACGCACAAGTCCCCTACCTGAGCTTTTAAGGGATGCTAATTACTCAGGCAAATTCATGTCTTGGCCGTACATATGCCACACATTGAACACGTAGGATTGTGATTCGTTTGATATTTTTGAACACGTATCTTGGACAACCCCCTAATCATCCTAATGTAAATTTTACATGTGTAGTGTAGCAATAGAAAACTGCCCATTTACAGATTTACTTTTGTCCATGTATGTTACATTATGGAGTATCCAATGTCAACCCCACTACAATGATGGTCCAAACCCCTAAAACTCCGGGCTAAACCATATTTACAAGGGGGATGGAATATATAACCATAGTTATAAGGGCCCAATTTTTTCCAACTGAGCAGTGTTCAAAACCCTCCTGGTCGATCAACAGGATTTCGCACAGTGAATGGTGAAAATCCGCAATAGGGTAGTGTAACCCCATACATATGTATTTATATTGTACATTATCTATCTATATATATTATATATATATATATTATTATTATACATACACACATATATATATATATATGGAGTAGTGTAACCCCATGTGCTCTTCAACCAACAGTGGTTTAGCGACCACTGCCCAACCTATGGAGCTTGTTACCATGGCTAATGTGGTAAATTTCTCGATAAACCATCCCCCAAGTCATCATTTTTAGGGGTGCTATGTTTACCATCCCCAGTCATAGTAGGTCTATGGCAGTCAGGGTTTCCCGTGTTATTAATATTATGATTTTTTAGATCCCTTTCTGTTCCAAGAATATATCATGTTATATTCCATTTACAGATGATTTATGATCATTTGAACCCATTAAAAAATGTTAGTCCAACTATCCATTCTTCATTTACATTATTGTTAGTTACCTACCCATTATAAACCATGATTATATCACAATTCTTAGTGGCTTTCCTACATTAATGTGGGTAAAGCAATAATAAACCATCCCCCAGTCATCACCATTTTTATAGGTGGTATGTTTACCATTCCCAAATGGCCAAATGGGTTGTTTATTATTGTTATACCCACATTATACTCATTAAATGATAGGAAAATCTCCCCATCCCCACAGTGCAGGAGATGACTTCAACGCTGTTGACCTTCGATCCTTGGCCAACCAGCCACCACTGGAGGTCGCCGCCCTCGCGGCGACGGTAGATACGACGAAGCTTAGGCTCTGAGGCTGCTGAGGTAAGCCATGGCCCATTGAGTGCGATGATTTTACCCATTAAAAAGGTAGATCTTTCCATAGCTGTTATTACTGGAGGATATACCCTTAAAGTAATTAAAATAGACCTTGAAAAACGGCATTTTTTGTGTGGAGATGATTCTTCCAATTCCATCCCGTATTTGGCAGGGTCTTTGTCAGTTACTCAGTTGGAGAGAAGGTATATATATCTATATATTATAGTCAAACACAAGAACCTGCTGCAGGAAATGAAGATCGAATTGTCGGATAATTCCGATGTTAACCTATGACCATTGGTATTAAACAAATACACATTTGACCTCCAAAAATATTGGAATAAGCTCATTGCAACTATCAGATGATATAACCATAACGAATGAACGTGTGGATGTTTGAGCACCTTCAACCTGAAGCAGTGACCATCAGGATTGAAGGACTCTTAAAAATGCATGTTGAACCTCTGTACAAAAATGGTGATCACACCGATAAACATGAGGAGTGAACTGTAAGAATTGGAGATTCAGCGAATACACGTTGGGATTGTCCTTATGTTTTCTACGATGATATTTGGTTGGTGGTTTGGAACATTTTCCATAATATATGGGATAATCCTTCCCATTGACTTTCATATTTTTCAACCAGATATGGTGAGGATCCCTATCGCAATAGATCTTCTCTGAAAGGCAATGTGTTGTTGCAAGGCATTTTGTTTGACTGACTAGATGAAGAAAGAGTGATGCGCAAATCAGGGAGTTGTCCCACTGGTGAGCCGTTTCCGGCTGCAAAATCCCATTGAAAATACCGCCGGTTTGAATGGGGCAACGGTCGCTATTGCTATGGTGGATGTTCCATTGCTATGTTTGATGAACAGGTACTCGAGAGAAATGAAGGATCGACATGATTATTTTATATTGGGTCATGTTGCTATATGATATGATATGATACCAAATTTTGGTTTTGATTCTGACATCGATGTTTTTTATGAACAAATAGCCTTCGAGCTGCACCTCAGCACCGGTTTCACTTGGTGTTTTTTTGGCGCGCAGATCATCCAAACTCATCCTGGTCACTGGTCAACTAGACTCAGAGGGAGCAGATGGAGAAAAGTGACACAACTGTTGGATGTTGGGTAGAAGTGTCTCATAGTGTCTCATTGGTGTGTGGATGTGGTGAAATGTGGTGTTTGGTGTGTGGTTTGCATATGTTTGCATCTCCGATCTTGGCCTTGGTGGCCTGGATCAGGATGTACCGCGGGGATGATTTATGTGTAGTCCTCAACTCCTCGGGGCAAGGCGTCCTGTGAAACAGGCCCCACGAACGGTTCGCGGAGGAGTGGAAACTGCGGAGAAAAAAAAAGGGCGGGACAGGGAGACCATCCAAGATTCAAGTTGATATCTTTTTGTGTGGCAAATCTGCAGTAAACAGGTAAACCTCTAAAACAAAGGGGGGTGGTGCATAGTAGATATAGCCCCCAAAAAGGTAGCACGATATACACACATCATTTGCCACTGTCAGCAGCTCAATGGTGACACCTCGCCTGGATTTGATCGGAACGCCCGCAAGGGCCGGGTGCCAAGAAACCGAGGTACAAATCGCCGCAGGGCAATTTCTGAGCTGCTTTAGCTGAGCCTTCCAGACGTTTGAAATGAAGAGAGCCATGGGCTATGCCCAGTTGACCCTGGTGGTCGATGATTCCTCTGGGAGATCATAGCGTAGGCCAACGCAATCCCTACTGAGAAATCATCTCGTCAGGCCAAGATGATCTTAGTGGATTTTGAACCATATTTAAACTCCAAAGATGTGGACGACTGAGACCAGACGGGATTTGGGTGTGCTCACGACATTTGGGTTATAGCTGGAGCCGCCTTCATGCCAGCTGCGCGTATTTCTCGGGCCAGCCCCTGGAAAAGCTAGCGCTATGGCCATCTATGGCCACTGAGATTGTTTTCCCAGTTTTGGGAACTTTCCCAAATGCAATGATTCAAACTTTTCCAACCTGGATTGGTAAGGCTATGAGGCTATGATATTATGGCTATTCCAACTGGCACAACTGGAATGATTCAATCTTCTTGGAATTCCAATGGATCTCGCTTCATGAGCCACAGCAATCTTGGAACAACCAGCGCTGCGTCGCGTAGATCGCGTAGATTCTGGCACATGTTAGAAAAGACTTGCACGGTATGAACGTATGAATATCTCTATCTATATCATTTCATATATGATATTTGGGCGCATTTTATATATATATATAATACTATATTTAATATATGTGTTCATACATATGTGCAATGTGCATGTATAATATATATATATATATAATATATATATATATATTATATGGATAGATTATGGTAGACCACACTGTGACGTCACTGGAACCATGGTTAGTGAGGGGAATCATCCCCCAACTTGCCTTATTTCAGAATTGTAATTTACCCAGAATATATGTATATTATTATTATATATATATTTATATGTAGATATAATATTTAGTGTATATATATAGAGAGAGAGAGAGCTGCTTGGCATAGTATGATCATTTATTCACATTGTTTAGAGCCTATGTGCTGTACACTTCCAGGTTTTACACACATACGGAACCTCCGAAATTGCTGAGGCTTGGTGATGCAGGCAGTTCGGCGCACGGAACCTCAGGTCAAGATGAATAAAAACAGATGCAACGGACGACTAAGTGAAGATGATTCCACTGTCATAGCTAGCTTGGAGTTGGGGTACCAGGTCAAATTTTGCCGGGTGAAACAGTGCAGATTCATATGGCCGCTCCAGTTTAGTGGGGTTCGGGTCTTCCTATGGCATGATGTGGCTCTTTGAATCAAAACCGTTGTTTGTGTGTGTGTTTTTTCCATTGTTTTGCTATTGTCTCGTCCTGGGTGCTTAAGGGGCCAGGAGATAACCAAAAACTCAAGAGAAAGGAAGGATTCCCTCATAATTCCAAGTCCACTTTACCCCCGGTCTTTCGAAGGGTTCACGGCAACCAAGGCCAGAAGCTGAGGCTGGGGTGAAACCACATTAATCATAGGTAACGATGCAAAAGGACTAATTACGAGCTCTAAATCTGGCAGAAAGGCAAAAAGTTATTTCGGATTTTTTTCAACGGCCAGGGGAAGCATGTAAATTATTGTGCTGCGATCAGATCGCTTTGAAAAGCTTTGAGTGTATTCCGCTCCTTTGCAGGAGGAAGCAGCCAAAAAGGCAGCCGCAGAAGAAGCGGCTCGAAAGGCAGCTGAGGAGGAAGCAACCAGAAAGGCAGCTGAGGAAGAAGCCGCCACGAAGGCAGCTGCAGAAGAAGCGGCTAGAAAGGCAGCTGAGGAGGAAGCAGCCAGAAAGGCAGCTGAGGAAGAAGCCGCCAAGAAGGCAGCTGCAGAAGAAGCAGCCAGAAAGGCAGCTGCCGAAGAAGCTGCCAGGAAGGCAGCTGAAGAAGAAGCAGCCAAGAAGGCAGCTGCAGACGAAGCGGCCAGAAAGGCAGCTGAGGAGGAAGCGGCTAGAAAGGCAGCTGACGAAGAAGCAGCCAAGAAAGCAGCTGCAGACGAAGCAGCCAGAAAGGCAGCTGCGGAAGAAGCGGCCAGGAAGACAGCTGAGGAAGAAGCAGCCAAGAAGGCAGCTGCAGACGAAGCGGCCAGGAAGGCAGCTGCTGAAGAAGCAGCAAGAAAGGCAGCTGAGGAGGAAGCAGCCAGGAAAGCAGCTGAAGAGGAAGACGCCAAGAAGCAAGCTGCAGAAGAAGCAGCTAGAAAGGCAGCTGCGGAAGAAGCGGCCAGGAAGGCAGCTGAGGAAGAAGCTGCAAGAAAGGCAGCTGAGGAAGAAGCAGCCAGAAAGGCAGCTGAAGAAGAAGCAGCAAAGAAGGCAGCTCAGGCTCACACTGTAGCGCTGTAGTGCTCTGAAACAGATTGGAGTGTGCTTCTGTTTCGATTCACTATCTCTGGGATTCTTTCCTTGGTAGGAGGCCTCGGCGTCGCAGCCGCAAACACCACATGGTCAGGCCAGCACTTGGGTTGGAGAAACGGTTTGGCCCCTTAGGATCCCTTGGGTAGAATCATACGATTCTAGGTAAGCCCGTGGGAGCATGTAGCCTGTATCAAGTGGCATCCACAAGCTGTCCCTCGAAAAACTGAGATTCAACAAACGATAATTTGTCTCCAAAATTGGGACTCCCGGGAGATATCTATATGAGACTTTAATGCCTATGCATGTGCATTATGTATATATATATATATATATACACATATTTGCAGGATATGGTTAGTTCCACAGTTCCACTTCCCCTGTAGTTTCTTAAGCTACTGGTTTCAGCTTGGGTTTATCCTCCAATCCACTTAGAGTCACCACTATGATGATCATATCACTGGTGTTGGCCCCCTTATTGGTGCTTGCTGGTGGTAAGCCCTGGCTAAGCCCTTATTGCGGGGATCACCTTTGGGGGGTTGATTGAACCCCTTGATATGTTCATATTTTCCAAGTTCTATCCTAATGATATTCCCATTATATATATATATATATATTACTGTGTATATCGATAATTAATAATATGTAATAGATCTTATAGGTACCCATTCCTATGTGCATAATTATATATCTGTAACAATATGAATGCTCAGGACAGCATCGAACGGTTTATGTGTTGTCCCTCGGCCACACCATGTCGCATTGCCAGCGTCGAGCTCCTCCACCTCCACCTCCAAGACCAAAGCCTAAGCAACTGGCGGTGGTCTCAAATGGGCCAGTGCAGGGGCGATGCGACGTGACCAGGCGATTCTTGACATTGGGAGCCACGAATGCGGCCGAGGCCAGCCCTGGTGGCAGCCGCGTGGGCAGCATGTCCCCCTCGTGGGGGGCCAAGGTTGGGACGGTTTTTGGCGGAAGGCTCACTTGGGTCTGTAATGAAAAAGCAATGCTTGAATGAAACAGTTCACCGAGGGGTCTATGTTTAAGATTAGGTAATTACTACTATTCATAGAGAGTTTGAAGGCTTGGATGTTTGTACGCTTGCTTTCCACGAGTATCTGGAGATGATGAACTGCAATTGTCAAGCCCATTCTCTTTGTATACAGATGTTAAAAAGCTTGAACTAGCATCAAAACGGTATAATTCAATAAAAAACATGAAGCATCACGGCCAATAAACTCGAGTTGTTTTCCATGAAGGCATCATGTGGTTGGACCCCATGCCAATCATGACCATCATCCGTGAGTCTGAGGCCATTGGCGGACGCCGATCATGCGGAGGTGCTGTGAGTCTTCTTTGACCTCACTGTTCGACCGAGCCCTGGAATAATGGTTTTTTATAGGGAAATCATCCCCAAATGGCCCTGAAATATTATAATTTACCCAGTTTCTGTGCTCATTTGTTCAAGAATGATGTTTCCAATAAGATATGGTAGGTTTTATCTTGTATCTAAGGTTACAGTATGTTTTTGTGTTCGTTTGGAGTTCATTGTCCGATTTACATCTATTACCTCTCGGCGTGAAATACTCCAAGCATCAAAACAAGTGCTGTTTTCTTTACAAGTGGGAAAACTTTGGTGACGGGTTCACCCGCCAAAGAGTAAACTAGGATTGATAAAGGGAAATATCATATCATTATAGATGGAACTTAAATAGTTATATTTCCCACCGATGTGCTTCATCTTTCCTGGGCTGATATTGATGTACAGTAGGGAAAAATGATCGAACTCAATGATCCATGGCTTCCAGGACTACGTCAAATTACCAGAGGGTTCTAGCCCTGACTGCTAGACCCACAGCATGCAGGGTGGCAACTCCCCAAGCTCCGCCGTGGGCTCCGGAGCGGTCGGCTGCCCAGTTTTCGGACACCAAGATGATGTGATGGCGCCCTCCCAGTTTTACGTTGCTTTATGACTTCCATTTATTGATGATATATAACATTTATATATATATACATTATATACATATCCAACTTAATGTGTATACTATATACCTTCCATATAGTATACCTAGAGTGCAAGTAGCCATAAAATTTGGTATTTTACCCTAGACTTTTATCACATACCTATTTTATAGGTACTTAGATCTAGCAGCCTGCTTAGTAACAGGCATGATTGATGCATTCCATGGGCTCCTCAGACCTTGGGTTTTATTTTCCTTTGTTTCTCGCTTGGAATCCACCCAGCAAATCCACCCATCGAATCCACCCAGCACAAAACGCAAGGAAACCACAGGAAATCAAAGGATACCAACGGAAAAATGAGATAATCTAAGACTAAGAAGAACTGATTTTGGCTAGTTCCTTTGTGTGTTCTTGTTGTTTCGGTTGGTTTCCTCCCATAATTACAAGCCATATTTTGGAGCAATCCATGCGTTGGAACGGTTGACACTGCTAGCTTTTGGCCCATACCTTATCAGAAGTGTGGGACACCTGTTACAGAAAACACAAGAAAACCAGAGGTTTTCAATCAAAAGGGCAGGGTGATCAGAAGAGAACATCAAAGGTAGCCCTGCTGTGAAGAATGCATGTTCCGGTGATGTTACTAAAGAGTTCCCATGATTAGAGGGTCCAAGATAGATCTACCAGTAGTACCGCACAAGGCGGTGGCGGAAGTTTCAAAAATAGGAAACCTACAGGAGAGGTTGGTTATTGTGAATCAGGGATGGCAGAGCGAAGCCACTGATGGACTGAAAGGTGCTTGATCTCGGCTCCGCACCCGCCGCTTTAGCGAGCCTACTTTTCGACCCTCCGGAGCCACAAATCATTGGAAAAACACAGTGTTTCGCGACTTTCCTACCTTTTCGCGCATCTGCATCTTCTGTCTTCTTACTCTTTCTTCTACTCTTCTTTCTTCTAATCTTTCTCTTCTCTCTGCCTCTTCCCTGCTCTGCTTTTCATCTCTCCATATTGTCGGAAGTTTGACTTCTAAACTTCCTTCGATGATTATCAAAATTAACTAAAGCTTAGTCTTCACGAACTTGGGCACAACCGTGAAGCTATGGTGCGAATGGTTCGCATGAGAGGGTGTGGTGATGATTGCTGATGTAATTTGTGTAATCAAAAGCTGATTCGGATATGCAGCTTCAAACTGTATTATGTACCTCTGGTAATTTAACATAGCTATAGAAAATCACAATTTTAATGGGTAAATCATCTATAAACGGTCCATTTTCCATAGCTATTTTTTTTAAATTACCAGAGGGTACAACATGTTGCTTTTGGTATCGATTTAGTGTTCGACTACCTGATTGCCTGTGCCATTTGATGGCCGTCAATCGGGGTGGTTTTCGATTCCCTATGCGGCTGCCTTACTCACCAACCTCAGCATGAATGGCGGAGAATTGGTGGGTACTGGTACTGTAGAGTAAACGAATTCAAGGAGATTCAAGGTACATATATGTATGTATGCGTACTTATATATATATATACATGTGTACATATATATATATATATATGTACATTTACATAAATATATATATATATACATACATATACATAAATATATATATATATTTCGACATATATATATGTATATTTATATATACTTGTATTTACATATATATATACATATATACATATATATATATATATACATATACATATATATATATACATACATTTATTTTACATATACATACATACATACATACATACATACATACATACATACATACATACATACATACATACATACATACATACATACATACATACATACATACATACATACATACATACATACATACATACATACATACATACATACATGTATCTATGTGTATATATATATATATTGACATATATATATATATATATATGCACATACATAAAACTACATATATATACATATATGTATATATATATATATACACATGATATGTTGATATTGTCAACCTCCTATCGTTTCCAAAGTCACCCATCAGGCGAGGCCATTCCCAACTCCTACGTGAGGCCAGTCCTAGCGGCTCACGCGCCGACCATTCCTTGCACGGTCTGTGGCAATCGCAAACGCCCACGGGGCGCATGGCTGGACCGTAAGGGATCTCAGATTGCTAAATGTTGCTCAAAGAAAACCATCCCTGCATGGCAATGTTGGCTTATTGAGTAGTGATATGTAGTGATACTAGATTTGGCACAAGTTTCCGCTGTTGAATATCCAGGCGCTAATCGGTGTACAACGTCATGCTTGCTTGCTCTACAAGGTGGTTTTATCTTTGGAAATTGGTAAACAATGTGAAGGGTGACCCAGGTGGATGAGCCAACTTTACAGGGGAAAACGACATCAAAAACCTGACCAGTTTGATGGTTACGCTTAGTACGGGAGATCATCCCAAAAATGTCTTCCCCTTTGGAAATCAAACAGAAATTGCCCTGGGTGGAAATGGTGGAACAGCCTTGAAGAATGCTGGCTTGCAATGTTGAGGGATACAGGATCTTTGGAGCTACTCTCGTTGTCATTTGTAAAATGGGGCTGAACAACGCAAAAAAAAAAACACCCCAATTCCAATGGACTATCATGATTTTCCTCATATTATATGGCCATATCGGGGTATAGCCCAGTTTCAAACACACCAATGAATTCCGTGTCTCGGAGAAGAAATTAATAGAAATGAATGGTGCTGGCCATGTTGCTCGTTCTAGACTTAGACATGATGTTCATCAACATGGTTGTGGATCAAAGTTGGGTCACCCATGGTAAGAAAGGTTCTGGCCATTTACTTTGGTACCATTACGGTAGAAAATGTCATCTCTTTCTTCGGCGTAAACCCGCAGCATGTCCTTCCCCAAGGCTCACTGCTTACTATTTAAGGCTAGGTATGAAGTAAGTTACAAGTCACAGTACTTATTGTTTTTTGGGTCTACCTGGGTTTATTCATCCGGGGTTGACATCAACAAGACTGGTGGTGCCCAGGTCCTTGGCAGATGGTGAGGCAGAGGCGGAGTATGCCGCACCATGAACGGTCTGTAACGAAATACAGACTGTATTTGTAGAGTTTATATGATAGTTGTATACTATTCAATACTTGCATGTATTAGATCGTAACAGATATGTGGATATATAATTGAATAATATATAAATATAATATATATATATATATATTTATAACTTAACTATACTTGAATGGCAGCCCCGGATTAATACGCCCCAGCATAGGTCAACTCGGTCAACAAGGTTTTGGAGGCTGAGAAAAAAAACACCGAAGTGATCATCCATCCCTACACCTTTGATGGGAATCATCCATGAGGGGTCAAGTTCGATGAAATCAGTTTGGATTCAGTATCGGAGGGTCGGATGGGATATATTTGCAGGGAATTGAGCTGGATATGACATCAAGAGGTTTGAATTCGAATGGAACCAGCTGCCTAATAGCATCCATGAGGGGGGAGATTTGATGAAACTGGCTTCAAATTAGCAGTAGGACTCAATGAGGGGTCAATCTTGATGAAACATGCTGGGAATTAACATCCACCAAGGCTCAAATGAGATCAAATTCGATGAAACTAGTTTCATATGAGTATCCATGAGGGATCAATTCTCTTATTGCATAGACTCACCTGCAAGATAGGATTCATTAAGGGTCCAATTTTGATGATCTATTGCTGAGAACCAGGGTGCCACATATCTTTGAGAGGGATGAAACCAACTCCCCGTGTCAAAAACGTATCCCATTATACCCCCATTGCTTGGTTAGTTTTATCTATTCATATCATGTATTCAGTGGATGAAATTCCTAGTTTCATCTACAGTATTTTCTTTATATTTTTCGAAATTGCAAGACCTGCCAGGCCGGGCAAAACTCACCGGCGGGCTCAGCCCCCAACACAGGGAGGCTGATGACACCCACCTCAGCCAGGCGCCGCCATTTCGGGGGGAATCGAAGTTACAAGGTGTTCACTGTGAAATAACTGGAAATCCCCGAACTAAATGGAGGTTAAAAAAGAAAATCAATGAACATCATGAACATCGTCTATATTCGTCTATCAATGAATGTTTATAGCTGGGATTTTTTCAATGATTCGTATGGCATATTTATTACATCTACACTCAATTCGCCTAACGTCGTTTGATTTTGTTACTCCCCAAATCCCAAAAGGGACGTCCTAAAACATGCAAGTCGATGTGTGGGTCCAATTCACCCAACGATGCCAATCATATAGATATCCCAACATTTGATCCAAACAGGTAAGTCAATGTCTAACATCTATAATAGTCTATAATCTGTAATCGTATCCCATGTTCTTCCATGTTTTATCCCCCTATAAAATTATAAATAGGCCTAGCAGAAACATCCCACGGCCACCCAGCAACCCCAGTACGACGTGAGGCGTGCGCCTGGACCAATGATCCCAGGCGAGAAAACGGGTGGCTGTCGCTGTCTATGACTCTGGATGTAGCGGTATACTGAGTCTAATTTTTATTATATATATATATATATGTATATATATATATGTATATATATATGCATATACATAGATATAGTAATATAGTATGTATATATTAATTCACATATATATATATATATATATATTATGGTATACATGTTACATATATAGATATAGTTTTTCGGTGCGTATATATATATATACAATTACACATATGTGTGTGCACGCCAGCATTTGCCCCAACTCAATTTTCAACTAGTTTTCAATAAACACTGTGTTTGCATAGAAACACTGTCGAAGATGAGGGTCATTGGAGTTCCAAATAATTTATGGATCTCATTTCCCATTGGTCGACTAGTAGAAGGGTTCGTACGGTAACGCCCAATCGTTCGATGGCAAGTGGTGGAGCTGCAGATCCTTCTTAGCCAGTTACAAACGGTACATTGCTTCAGTTGGTGAGTTATCCAGGCAAATGTGGTGAGTTGAGGTGAGCTAAAGTCACATTGCTCGGATGAACAGATGCCACCATAGATGCCACCATATCACCTTTCAACCTGGTTCTTGGTTGGTTTCAATTCATCATATCTCATGACGGATCCTGGGACCCCGGGAGAAGGATCCTTAAAATGGCCAGGTCCCATGATCGATACCGACTTTGAAGATACCTTGAAGTCCAATGGTTCCTTTGTGCTGCTTGTCTGGGGGGATCTGGGAGGGGATCTGAGTGGAACTGGATCATCATCCGTCATTTGTTGCCCATGCCCCAGTAGTTGTTCAATAGCGACAATGGATTGTGATTGCCCACATGTTACCAACCTATGAGCGTTATATCAAGAGATAGATTGACAGATGGATTGGTAGACAGACAGATTGATAGATATTGTCCCGGCAACTATGGTCGATCCAAGTGTGGATGTTTGGTGGGTGGGCAGATCCATGAACCCAACAGCACAGAAAGAAGCTGGAAGTAGAAGGACAACCCAAAACATCAAAACCATCCGCAATATCGTGGCATGTTTTTTGGTGCAGCCAGTCAATATATATATATATATATTCCTATTTTATTCCCATTATTCAATGGCCATTTCAGGTACCTAAACTGGAAGCACCTGCCATTTGTAAGGGTGTAGTGCCTCACTCCAAGGTCCGATTCCCCTGGTGGTCGCAAGCCGCAGCCCTGGAACGGCGTTGCGGGTGGAACCTGAGAATGTCCGGCCCATAATACGACTTTACCACCGGGTACAAATGGACCAAGCACTTTTCAATTTGGTGGTTGGCCCAGCTAAAACAGAATATCAAGTGAATAGATCCAAGACTCGCCGGATTCTTGATCATTCAGCTGGGGTTCCGGCTGTGAAAATTGGGGGGTTCCAGGCCGAGAGGCTCCAGGTTGGTGCCCAAACTGTTTGTTGTAGATACTTTGGATGTTCCCCTGGAACGCGCCAGTCAGCCAAAGGAAGCACTGCTGAAATTTTCTTTTATCATGTCAGAGTTAGATATTTCAAGGTAGCTAGAAGTGTTTAACACCCAGTAGAATCACAGCTACCTTTATGGGTTCGTTTGAGAATAGGGCACCCCCCATTCCAATTTTTACTAAAACATCATTTTTCAGACACACCAGTATTGATTACAGTTGGTTACATATATATATATTATACATATATGTATGATATATATATATATACATATTATATTATATTATATATATACACATGATCATATGTATATTATATGTATCTATATATAATATATATATATATATATTATATATTATATATGTGTGTGTGTTCCATTACATACATCCCATTACAAAAGCCATCAAAAGCCATATTTTCATCCCATTAGATCGATTCGATTGGATCATGCAGGGCCCATAGCCTGGGCGGCTTGGCGAAAGCTTCCGCGAATGTGGTGGCAGCAGATAAGCAGGCTGGGCATGGCCGGGAGAAGCCACTGGTGAATGGTAGATGAATGATAGGTGAATGGTAGTTGGGTGGTGTTTTAAGCCATGATGGAAGAATATTCCAAACATACTCCATGGAAAATATATAGAACTGTGATAACTACGCCCTGCCAGCTAGATGTTCTATATAGTCGTTCTTAGTATGTCAGATGTTTGCCATGCAGACCGAGGCATTTTAATTATCATTTTTTACTTTCATTTCCTGGCAAGCCGCGCGCTCGTAGCCTTCGTGTGGGCTTCCCTTGACACCGACCGAGGTTGTTCTGATTTTGAATCGCAAATCCATAGTTTCCTGTCGCATCCTGTATCCAGAGTTTCCCTTCAACTGATATCAACCAATAAGAATGAGAGGACGACAATTCAACAAATGAGAGTCGCTATCACGTCATTCAGAACCGATATGATAAGGACAAGAGTAAGCAGCGTACAACTGTATCACAATCATCAGAAAATCGTTAAGCGAAGCAACACAAGTGGTTTATCCGGCATGTGGGATGAGCTTATTCCATGCATTTGCTGAGCATGTTGAACGATGTTTAGCGTGGCCCCAGCGTAGGACTCTGGTTGTTTTGGACCATAAACGCCTAAAGGCTAAAGCTTTCGGCACAGAATCAGCCAACTATGCCAAGATATAAAAAATGGTGCAATATACTGTATACTGCATACGCACGTATATATTTATATATATATATATCATTGTATATATATATATATTAACCCAGCTTTGCAACCCAACAGCATACCTGAATCTTCCACCTACGTCTTTTTTCAGACCCTGTGCCAAAGTCCTGTTTTTTCAGTACCCAGAAAACTTTTCAGGACCTACTCTCAAATTCAGGACCTGGCCATTTTGGGGTATCAATGGTAATGGCAATCATTGGGTGCAAACATGTGAAACCAACATTTGGTGGATATTCAAGCCATTGGCATTGATCCACGCAAATAAAAGCACTCCCAGCCCAAACTCATGGCAAGGCAGGATCAGAATATAGTATATTCCAGAAAGTATGTCAGAATAGATGCCAGATAGGATGCCAGAAAGAATGTCAAATAGAATCTCAGAAAAGAATGTAAGATAGTATGTCAGAACATATATGCCACATATACGTCCAGATGATATGTCAGAAACTATGTCAGAATAGTGTGTCAGGGTGGGGATCACTCTTAGTAAGGCAATTTTGAAAATATATTTCAGGTTCGGAATTTTCAAACTGTTGTCCTTCAGGCGCCGAAGCTCCCGTTGAAGGTCAGCATCGCCCCATGTCAACTGGTCCAGTCCCACTTCCATTTCAACAAGTCCAACTTCATCGATTAGGGTGTTGGTTGAATGGACTTGGGACTCTAGCTGGCACGGCATCCCTTGTAACCCTGTAGACACTGTAGTGGGCAAAAAGATTGTAACACACAGAATCAGCATCATTTTGATCAGGCATTCTTTTTGCTAATCCTTTCTCCCTATTACGAAAAATACCCCCAAATGACAAAAACTAGGTGCGATTTCCAATTTTGGGAAATGTCAAATTGGTTAATCTGATTTTTAATTGATCCCCTTGAGGAAACAATTTTAAAAATGAAGGTACCATGTGAGGGTTTCACCCCCAAAGAATAAAAAACTAGTCAACACCGGGGTGTCTTTTATTGGGGTCCGTCCTTTAAAATCGTCAATTTTAGTTTTTTTAATTCAGGTGTTGGTGTTTTATTTGATACTAGGCGAAAGCTTCGAAATCCTATTCTTGGCAGTATTCTATTTAAAGATTATTTTCATGGATTTTGAAATTAGAAACAAAAACGGTTTAATCCCTTCCCCCTGTTGCTAAACAGTCGCCCCTTCACCCACCCACCCAAATAACAAACACCTGGAGGAGTTTTTAGTATTGGGGGGGTCTTTAGTATTAGGGTACGAAGCTTCCCCCTAATACTGATAAAAAAAACACACACACACATATATATATATATACACATATTTCTATTTCAAAATCGATCAGATTTCTTTCTTTTTAAATCCAATTAAAATATGGCAAACAAGTGGATTCCGAAGCTTAATATCAAATAAAACCCCCAACATAAAAAACTATGTATGTTTTTCTATTTCGAAATCGATGAGATTTCCTTTTAAAAATTAAATAAAATATGGCCAAAAAATTGGATGTCGAAGCTTTTCCCTTATATTAAACCCTAATATCATTTTGTTTTTTTTCCTGTTTCAAAATCGATTAGATTTCCTTTTGAAATCTAATGAAAAAAACAAAAAAATGATTTTGAAGCTTTCCCCTAATATCAAATTAAAATCCAATTATTAAAATATGTTCAAAAATTGGATTTCGATGCTTCCCCTAATCTTGCATGAAAAATTCCAATATAAAAAACTAAATTTGTTCTATTTCAGAATCGATTAGATTTCCTTGTAAATTCAAATTAAGATATTGCCAGAAATTGGATTTCGAAGCTTTCCCCTCATATTAAACCCTCATATCAAAGACTATTTTTTCTATATCAAAATTCATTAGATTTCCTTTTGAAATCTAATTAGAATATGGTCAAAAATTGGATTTTGAAGTTT